CGCGACGGCGCCACAAATGTCTCAAGTTGGCAAATGCCAATCGAGACTTTTGTATGCGCGCCGACACTTCATCTGTGATGCGTCCGCCAGGTGAGATATAGCTGCCAGTTAGCAAAACTTGTCCACTTTGTCTACTACTTCCCAAATCAGGTGAGGTTGGGGACTGCATCATCCCAATGTTGGAGCATCATTTTACACTTTGAAGGTGTAAAACGCATACCGAACATGGCTACAATATCACTCAAGCTTTCCAGGAAAGCTTATAACTTACCTGGATCTTCACTTCGTAGCACAATGTCGCCTGCATACTCTAGATCAGACAGGCTGCCACTTGGAAGTAAATCGATAACGCTATCCCCGCACGAGGGTAAGGCTGTTTCGAGAATTAAATCTATCATAAAGTAAAATAGAAAAGGAAAACGAGGGCAACCATAGCGAACACCATTTTCCGCAGTGAACTCGGGTGAAGAAGTGCCGTAAGCTTGGAGTCGGCCCCGACTATTAGCATAGAGCTACTGTAATATTGAAATAAACTTCTCGGGCACACCCTTCAGAGAAAGATAGCGCCAGAGTTGAGAACGTTCAACTGAGTCGAAAGCCGCTTTCAAATCGAGGAATACGGAGATGGCGAGTCTACGAAAGGAGTGCCTGTTTTAGAATTTGAAGGAGTGAAAATGTGGTCGACACAACCTCGTCTAGATCTGAAACCAGCCTGGTTCTCACGCGTACACCGTTCGCGTGCGACGGATAACCAAGGTAGTGTAACACCGGCGAGAAGTTTAGAGATGATGTTGATTGAACTAAGTCCTCCGTAGTTTTCACAAGAGGATCTGTCGCCCTTCTTGTATATCGTTATGATCCCCGTTTCACACCATTCAGTTGGAATATCTTTTCTCTCCCACGCTGAGCTGTTTTGTTAGTTCCAAAACCAGGGCTAGATCTCTATCGTTAAAAACCGAGAGGGACAGCCCTTCGGGGCCGGACACCTCATGCCGTTTGAGATAACTTATTTCACGGGAGACGTCCACTTCAGATGAAGGACTGATGTCAACTGCCAGCATGTTCGCAGTTGAAGCGGGTGAGGGGTCTTGTGTTGACGGAGACTAGCTGCACCGTGCCTTGAAATGTTCTGCCCAACGTTCCTCAATTTGAATCAGTGCCATCGGACTGCTTCATTACCTCACTTACACTTACTTTCCTTGGACCTGTGCTCCAATTTAATCGTAAGAGGTTGCGACTATTACCAATAGCCGCAGCTTTCTCCATCTCTCTATACTTTCCTACCCACTAATTTTCGCGATCAATTCTCACTCTTGATGAGCCGGCATTTAGGGGATTTGCGTGTTTTGTCGTATTTTGAATCCGAAGGAATGGCTTTGCGGGCGTCCAGCAGGGCAACCGAGGTCGGTGAGTTCCATCTTTTTTATTTGGTCGTGTTCCAGAATTTGCCATTGTTTTGACCGCTTCCATGATTGTCTGTAAGTGTTTCCACGTCATCTGCTGACCTTCAAGCGGTCTCTTCTAACCTGGAGCCGCAACTGCGAATAAGGCGCCGTGTGGAAGACGATGTCTGGGCGTGCGTAATACGTGCCCTACACAGCGAAGCCGTCTAATCTGAATTCGGTGGGACAACGAATTCTCCGCCGAATCAGTACCAAATAAGCGACGCCTTACCCCATAGTTGGTTACACGCTCGCTCCATCAAACCCGCGCGTAAACATCGATAATCAAAGACTTCCAGACGACAAGTTTTTTTCACGTACAAATTAGGGTTTCGCAACCATAAAGCAGAAATGACCGCACACTGGCGCAGTATACACAACCTTTCAGTTTCAACGAAACATCGCGTCTGCACCATAGGTGTTTCAGTCTTGCTCGAGCCCTGAAAATGCGGGCGGAAACTTCAGACTACGCTACCGTCACCCGTAAAACAGCTACCTAAATAAGTGAAACATTCCACTACATCTAATTGTCGACTAACAAGCATCAGCGTCGAGGTAGACGACACCCAATCTCGTAGCATCACTTTGTACTTTGAAGGTGCAAAGTGAATGTCGAAAGGAGCTGTAGAACTTGAAAGTCCGTCGACAGCGCTTTGCGCATCTTCCACACATTCCAATTGGCTAACAATGCCGTCAGCGTATTCAAAATCGAATGGCTTATCTCTAGCTGTCCATTCAATACCTACGTTTTAGAGACCACTCAGTGCGCTCCCCAGTATTTCGTTTAGGACGAAATTGATCAGGAATGGTGGAATAAGGCACCCTTAATGAACGCCGCTCCTGGTTTCGAAAAATTTACTTAGCTCACCGTAGACTCTTACGCGACCAGAAGCATGCAATACAGCGATCGCAATATGTTTACATGCCTCCGTGGCATTTAATTACGAGGCAGCGACCCCGCGGTCAACTGAATCGAAGAATTCTTTTAGGTCAAGGAACATCTAGCCACACAAGTAGTCATGGTTGACAAGTACTCTCTCGAACATTTACCAAGCAGGTACATGAATGTATGTGCTTCGTGTACAGAATAGAAACGCACAGCGAAATACTGTTCAGGAGTCCAAATGGGTGGTGTTTACCTGTACGGAATTTTGCTCAGCCATTCTCGTACCAAGCAAAATATGCAGTTACTATAATTAGACGCAAAACCATCGCGCACAATTCACGTTATTACCTATCGGTGTCACTCAACAACACTGCGACGTGATCTTTCAACAGTTGGGTGCTATTTTTGCAACGAATGCCTACACCATACCTAATGGTTAGATGCGGAGTATCAAGCAAAGCTAACCACCAGCTCAGGCGATAGGAGTAAATTGTATCATTGCGTCAGGGGACATTTGCGAGTGACATTTATTGTGGTCGATGTCATCGGAATCTAATGCAAAATAACTGCAATGAGCATTGCTAACCCGTTTTGCTTCAGACAAACGAATTCACCCACAGACGGCTTCACAACTCAAAATTAGTATGCCTGAGTTCAAAAAAAATTCACGATGGAATTCCAATGGGGTAAGTTAAAACTAGGCTAACCCAATGTATGCGCTGAGTGTATAAAGCGAATTAACACTCAATTCAGTGAGCTTATACAGAACATAAAAGTACGGAACTAGGCGGCGGAACGCGTAGTCAACTTGTCTTAACTCACTCTGAATTGTCTACACTACTAGCGTACGCTACGCGAATGTAAAGAACGCACACTTAAAACCCGACCGAAGATGAACTGTTCAATTATACCAGCCGAAAATTAACAGGATGATACCGGATTAAGTTATATTCTCTTCTCACTTTTTACTATGCATATAGGTAAGCGCACATTTTCCACAATATTGTCGGTCGAAGTGGCTTGCCATAAAGACACCAGCACCACATTTTTCGTTGGGGCATTCACGACGCAGACGAGTGATCTTGCCATTGGAGTCAACCTATGTAATGAATCTAGGGAGAGAAACCTCAAGAAATTACCTTGTAGAACTTCAGAGTAGCGAGTTTAACTTTTTTCCTCTTGTGCTTTATCTTCTTAGGAGTAGTATAGACCTTCTTTTTACGCTTTTTAGCGCCACCCGACAGTTCGTAATTTAAGTCGAGGCATGCACACTCTTCGAGTTCCAGATCTCCAATGACTTCACATTCTTCCAAAATGCGTCCACCAAACGACAAATAACGCCCACACGATGGAGCAGTCCGGTATCCTCCAACTCGCTCAATCAAAGCTTGCACAGACTCCGACGGCGAAACATCCACCGACTGCAGACCGGCGGCAGGCGACCTCAAAAACAACCTCATCCTCACGTTTCTCGAGCTGAACGCGCGGCACTGTGGATTAAAACAAAGAAGTGAAGGTCAGGTGACGGAACATGCGGCTGCTGCCCCTTTGAGTTGAAATTCCAACATCGTGAGAACATTTTTGTCCACACGTACTTCAACAATAAAGGATCCCTTACGAGCCGTAATTTTGGTCCTGCTGCTACGACGTCGAAGCGCTACGAGAACACGTAGCTCGGAGTGCAAGAACCTGGACACACATTGGCTCGAACCACAAGTCCTGTGACCTGACCTGACCTGAAGTAGGGCAATCTTTCGGCTCGTTAGCTGCTTCCCAAGCTGAGTTCAGTTCAGTTCAGTTCAGCGATCCAGGACGTGACGGTGAGATGCCAAATTGTCCAGTTTTTTGCTCTGCTCGGCTCTTAGAACCCCCGGTGCTTCGACTTGATGACAGTAAGGTCTGCAGGGAAATGTAGCTTCTCTATTATCTGATTCCGTGTCAGCTTTGTCACAGACCTGCACGTATAAAAACTCGAAAAATAAGTTATTAGTGCAGTGTAAAAAGGAACAACTCGAATTCAGTCAACGTGATATAACTTCTCTAGCATGTTCTTCATTCTTCGATAAACATAGTACTGTAGCCTTTCTTCAACCGATAGTTTCGCTACGATATTTTCCTTTTCTTACCTCTTGTTCCTCTCCAAGATTCCTGATAGATCCACTCAAGCTGACCGTGATCATCAAATCACGTACCAGGAGCACTTACACCTTACACTGATGAATAGCAACAGGACGCGTTCGGTTTGCAACCAGTCATGCGTAGTTGAGGATTTGCAGTGACCATGATTGTACGAAGAAAAGGAGCAATCCACGAGGACGTTTTCCGTTCATATTTTCAACTCTGACTCGAAATGTGATATTTCATTGTTTTGTTTTACTTCTGTTTGTTTTACCGAGCACGGTTTTCCGCTCAGGCGTATATATAACTTCTGCTTGTTTTACCGAGCACGGTTTTCCGCTCAGGCGTAGATATAAGCTGGGTCCTGTTCAAGCCCACGCTACACGTGTGACACGCTTTCGCTTTGCTACTGCATTTATTGCTTGCATTGTTTGGCGTCACCTAGCACGGTTCAGTACTATCTAGTACCACGATTCGCCAATAAACGTTTACGACTCGCACGAGTGTTTTTTGTCTACCTCGGGCAACGAGACACTAGGAGGTCGCGCGCATACTAAGACTCGTAAGAAGACTTACCGGCAGGCCGTCAACTCCGGTTAGCTTCAGATTATCAGGACATGCTTAAATAACTGTGGCATACTTATCAGAATCATCAAGGTTCAGATATCAAGTAGTGACAGCCTCTCGATAAGTTAGGTAACCTATCGTTATGCTTTTCCTTCCTACTTACTTCTTACTTAAGGACACTTCTCCACCGGACACAATCAAGTGTACCGTCGAGATTTAGCATTTATCGCCATTATTTGTTGATGGCTATCTTCCAGGTAAAGACAGCAACCTGGAAATCTCCAGGATTAAGATTTGCTTTAACTATTATCGTGCTTTTTATGAGCTCAAAAAGACCGCACCGACACAATTCCCTACGGTGAGGTCTGCACCGCACACCTTCCTTGCATTGATTAGATCTACTTTCAGGTTTCCACTGCCGTTGCCAGTCTAGGCCTAGCCAAACGTACTTCCAACCTTTCGGAAGATTCAGAATATATCGTTTTCTACAGATCCAATCCTTGGTTCTATTTCTTCTTGGGACGGATATCCAGAACGAACGTGAGCAAACATTAGTGACAGGTTCTGACAAACATCCGCAATCATCGAGTCACAGGAGAGATGGCCACGGCCAATTGAGCGTGAGGAGTTCCTTCGATAGTAAGCCAGCGTGTTGTCCCTTACCACTGCGAGCGTTTCATATTGTTTTATATTTTTATATTGTTTTCTTCTAGTCCATGTCGTCACCGTTTCTGCAGGCGTAGAGAAAGAAAGTATCTTGTTTCTTGTTCCTTCGAGAGACTTCACTTGTGGAAGCTTTCCCCTGCTTGGTGTAAACAGTAACCTACAACTGTTCCTTATCACAATCCTACGAGTCTATTTCGGGAAATAACTTTAATCAGCGCTTATCTAGCTCATTCTTGAATGCATGTGCTTTCTAGTTTCACCAGTTCCTGTGGTAAATTATTAGATGAATGGACTAACCTATTGTCGAAGATGTTGGAACGTACCGCTAGTCTCATGTGCAATTTCTTCAGTTTATGCATGTGCCCCCATTGTTGCTTTGCAGCCTCTAGAGGAATACTGCCTCACCCTTCACTGATAGGTCGTTCATAATTTTGAATGGCTCTAGGAGTATTCTCCTATCCGAGGATAGGTGTCCAAGATCCTGCAGTCTTCGCCTATACGATTTCCCTCGTTGGCCTTCGATCATCTTTTTCGGTAATCGTTTTACCCCTCGAGGCAGGCAGCGTCCTTATGGAAGAAAGGAGCCCAGGTTAGTGTGCAATGCTCTAGGTGCCTTCAAACAATTGTCTTGTAAAGACGTACAAACACCTCCGGAATCCTGCATGCTTGTGCCGACTGCAGCTATAGGCACCGGCTTATTGATACCCCGAGCTAAAACGTCTATAGCGCACATAAACGATAGCACGAAAACAAAACGAGACGATTTACGAAACGTTGGACGGGTTGTATTGTTATGATCTGTAGAGCAAAAGAGAGATACGGAAGCATAAGCAAGCGTGCGGAAAGTAAAAGCAAACACGCGCTGACCAAAGAGGTGGCCTTGGTGTTGTGAAACAATGAGATGCAAAGGTAGAAGGGTACATGTAAATTGGGAGTTGATTGGTAACTACAGAGTTCCCCTCACCTAGAAGGGTAGGGAGAGTCTTAGATAAGGGTGCATACATTACTTGCTGTGGTTTTCTGGTTTGAAATATTGGATCGCTTGGTGAGATATCACGGTACTACTAGGAATCAACTTTCAACAGTTCCAGTTGATATGGCAGGGGATGCTGGTCCACAAGAAGATATGGGGAAACGAAAATGCCATGGAAAAGCGTCTGCGGGCCCGTCGTCGTTTCGTGCTTTGCCTCATTTTGGTGTCTTCAGAGAAAAGAATAGGAGGACCGTCGCAGCTGGGCACGATTCAGTAAAAGACTGACGGGGCTGTCGGTAAAAGGTCTCCGATACCCATATTGTGCTGAAGCGGGGAGAAGGATGGGAACGTGCCAGTTTTCTTTTTTGCTGCGTTCTGCTGGCGGAAGTTTTCTTCATGGGTATCTGCGTTTTCTTGACCGAAGATTTGCTCCCGAGTTTTTGAATGCAGAGGACCAAAGGTGGAGAGTCCTTCCAGTCTGGGTTCACCTGTGCTGCCAGAGCACATTTCCGGTGTCGATGAAAACGCTCTACCATCCCGTTGGCTGCCGAGCGGTAAGCGGTCATCTGAACGTGGCGAATGTCTAGATGCTTAAGTAGTTTTGCGAAACACTCTCAGAATGAGAACCTCGATCGGTCGTAATCACTGCAGGACAACGGAAGCTAGCTATCCAAACCACCCTGAAGGTTCATGAGGCTGCTTCGCTGGATGCGGAGGACAAAGTCACAGCTACCGGCTACCGCGTGAAACGTTCGATACGGGTGAGTATATAGATACACCCTTTCGATGGTAGCAGGGGTCCCACTAAGTCTACGTGGACGTAGTGAAAGCGCTCGTCGACGACGGGAAACGAACATAATGGGCCCTTTGTGTGAGGAGTAATTTTGTTACGTTGGCTGGACAAGCACTGACGTGGCCATTGACGGATGTCCTTTTTGATGTTGTGCCAAACGAAACGATCAGTGATGATTTTTACGGAGGCACGGATGAATAAATGTGAAAAGTTATGCAGTGTCTCGAAAACCTTTCTGCGTAAGGTTGATGAGACTACTGGCCCAGGGTTATCTAGGGAGATGTCGCAATACACCTTTTTCCGAGGAAGGAAGTGGCAAGTGTTCGATGCGGAGCATTGATTGCTTGCGCAGTCGCTCGATATCAGTGTCGCCGGTTCAAGCTATGGCTTCTGGGTAACGATTATCCAATTAATGGATGCTTGAGAGGGCATCCGCTACAGGGTTGTTGACACCAGTGATATGTCACCAGTCACACATATATTGTCGTGACTCTCGTGGAGCGGATCTGTTGGTGATAGGCTTAATGGCGTGAGCGATAGGACGATGGTCGGTGAGGACCATGAAGTCCAGTTCTTCGAGGAGATGGCGGAAGTGGCGAATACCGAGGTAGATCTCCAGGAGTTCTCGACCGAAGGCGCTCCACCTTGATTTGGTCGGTTGTAGTTTCTTGGAGAGAAAAGCTATTGATTGCCATCCCTGTCTCACCTGTTGCTGGAGGACGGCGCGAATTGCGTGGTTGGACGCATCGGTGACGAATGCTAGTTTGGCGGAGGGGTCTAGGTGGGTTAATGTTGCGACGGTACTCATTGTCCGTTTTAACGCACTGAAGGCGTCTCGAGTGAATTGTGTGAACACTAAAATTTTGTTTTAACCCTAAGTAGGTCAGTGAGTGGCTGCATAACCTGCGCACGTTGATGGAAGATATGACGATAAAAGTTGACTAAACCGTGGAAACGTTGGAGCTGCTTAAATGTGGTGGGCTCCCGGTATTCTATTACTACCTGGATTTTGTCACTTAGCGGTTCGATACTAGTGGCTGTGAAGTGATGACCGAGGAAATCAATGTTGGAGGCACCGAAAACTCATTTTTGTGCGTTGACCGTGAAACCGTGCTGTGCCAAGCGATCAAAACGTGCTTGGAGGTGCGCCAGATGTTCCTCACGCGATGAGCTAGCCACTAGGATATCCTCTAAGTAAACAAAAACGGAATCTGAACCTCTACGAACGTTGTCCACAAAATCCTGGAAAGGCTGTGCGGCGTTGCTTAAACCAAATAGCATACGGAGGAATTTGAAAAGACCAAACGGTGTGACGGTGTCTCCCAATAGATAACTGAGGAACG